CCCCCCCCCCCCCCAATAAAGTTAATATACTTACTTCTAGTGAAGATATATAAACTGCATTTAAAAAAAAAATACTGTTTCTTAGTATGGTTTTGTAACGTAATATGTTACCATGCAACAGAAAGAGGTTACTTACTGTGGAAAAATCCTGCTGCATGCAGGGCAGGAGCTGCTTAATGTCTCTGAGATGTCTTTTCATTATGAATGCTCTGCTGTGTGCACATATGCTGCATGCACCTTACCAGCTGTACCCATGTGACGTTAGTATCCCCTGCCACTCCTTGTGCTTCACCGAGGTCATAAAAGAGAGTACTGCACCTTTGGCATGGACTTACAGATGTGCAGGACCTTGAGGAAGAGTGCTGAAGACTGGGCTGAGAAATGTGCATATGGACAACAGGGTGTGAAGATCTCAAATTACTGAAGGGTAAATAGCTTCACCCTGACGCTTTGTATGTTCCAGTTCATGATCTGTGGGTGACTACAAAGCAGTAACCAGTTATAGGAGAAAAGCAGTTAGCACATGACTTTCAATGGAGGCTTCGGTCTGCAGGCTTTAGAAGCTTCATTGTACTTTTACTGTTATGAGAAAAGAGCTCCAGGTGGCTGCTTTTAAAAAAATCTCTGAGTTGTATAAACACTACTGATACTGCCTGTGCTAATGTGACAATCGGCATCATGCAGGGCTGCATGCCCAAGATGGAGAGTTGTTAGTATGGCAAAACCTAGATTCTAACTGCAGGACCAGGGTGGCTGGTCAAGAACCTGTCTTGAGGCAGGGAGCCAGAGATGTTGTGGTTCTAGTGCCCTCAGATATGTCTACAGGTTTGTTTTCTGGGTATTCACTCTTGGGCCAGAGTTCTAGATTCTAAATCATATATATTGAAAAGCCACAGAAAACTTGCAGACTACTACTTTTTCAGTAGCCTGTCACTTAAATAAAGGTAAGCCAAAACAGTTTTCCCTGATGCGTAGTGCTCTAATTGCAAGTGCATTGGTGGGTTAGTATCCTCAGGTAGTGATTTGACCGATCACTAACAGGTAATTCCTGTGTGGTGTATGATAGGTATGTTGAAATAAGGCAACTTGAAGGCTGAGATGCCTGAACTAGTCCCTTAATGCCATGAGTGGGGATAACGGTGGCTAGTATCACCATCCTGAATTCCAGTCTACATACAGGCAAACTTCCAGATGTAAAATGAGTTACTGCTGCTTTTTTTTTTTTTTCCCTCTACTAGGGATTGTGTGGTAGCTACTCTATAAACATCTCTGGTACTGATGGGGAACCCCTTCTATGTTAGTGATGAAAAGATCAATAGGATTTAAATAATAGTTCATGAGAGAACCCTGAAGAGGGATGGGAATGAGGAAGGTGGCTGGGAACAAGCCCTGGTTGAAACAGCTTAAGGGATTTCACAGCTAGAAATGAAATGTAAGTCTGTGGTAACACAGGAGCATCCAGGCCTGAAGTCAGCCCGGTAGTTCCTGAAGGGAAGTAATCAATTCTGGGATTTCACAAGTTGGTTCTAATGAATTACATTTGCCTCTGGCAACACTGTCTTCTCAAAAGCAGCTCATATCATCAGTGGTAGAAGAGAACCCTCCCCACCATGTGATCCAACTTGCAGAGCAATTGCTCTTTCAGTGTTTACCTTTAGATGAACAAATACAAAAGAAAGCATTTCACACTAGAATGTGCAGGCGCAAAGAGCAGTTTCTCTCTTAGTGCTGAGCAGTTCCACCTCCCTTAAGGTCAAGTTCTGTGCAGTCAGTCTTCATGTTGCCAGAAGCCAGATCCTTGCTTTTGGGTAATTCATGCATGCTGCAGCATGGAAAAATGCTCTCTCCATCAAGCAGGAGGCTACAGTGGCTGTGTTTAGGGCTGGCTGTTACATTGCTCAAAACTGCATTAAAAAAAAAATCTGTTTCAATTATCTTTAGGACCATGGTAACATTCCAAGTTTTTCAAAAATAAACTGACCATTTCCAAATGCAATTGAAGGGATCTCCTAGATGTGGTTCTCTCCATAAACTAAAACAGGGTCAAATTCATTCTGCCCCATGGGCTGGATGAGTTGCATTGCCCTGTAAGCCAGATCCAGCATGTGTCCTAGAGCAGCCAGGGTGGGCACTATGTGCAACATTGCCCTGGTCCCACTATTCTGGGGGTGCAATGTACATGGCTGTCATGTGCAGCACATCTCCAGAGCTGCAGTGACCACTCCAGGGTCATCATGCAGCATGTGGCAGCCACTCCATTGCTCCAGGATATGTACTGGAACAGGTGCTGTATGTGGTACAGTCCCAGAGCGCCGCTGCCTCCACAACCTGTGGGTAGCACTAGAGGCCAGAACTGCTGTTAGTTTGGATAAGAGTCCGGTCACAACCTTGTTCCACACTGGGCACCTATACACATGCTCTGACGTGTTTTGATTAGAACACATCGGAGCAGACGCTATTAATCAAGTCAGCTGGAGCATTCTAATCAGAATGCTCCCACATGCTGCAGCATCTCATGTATTCAGCATCCCTACATTTTAAAATGGCAGTGGGAATGCTTTAACTAAAGCTCATCAAGCAAGTTTTAGTTAAAGCACCCCCGCTGCCATCTTGAAACAGGACCCTGAATATGTGAGATGCTGCAGGTGCAACTTCATAGAGGGAACTGGGCTTAGTCTGTAGAAGAGAAGGCTGAGGTGGGATTTGATAGCAACCTTCAAATACCTGAAGGGTGGTTACAAAGAGGATGGAGTTAGACCAGTGGTTGCCAACCTTTTTAGGTTCAAGATCATTTTTGGATTTAAAAGGAACTGAGGATCTACCCCCTCCCCCCAGCAGGTAAGTCTGTGGGCAGGGAGGTGGGGAAAGGGCTGGGGCGGGGAGCAGATTGAGGTCCTAGACCTAGCCCCCACTCCCTCACCGCTGGGGGCCTTGATCTGCCCCCACCCTCCAATGTCAGCGGGGGAGGAAGCACATCTGACATGAGGTGGGGGAACAGAGCTGCAAGCGGCTCATCCAAGGGCATGGGGGGCACGCAGCCCAGGAGGGCATGGCTGGGGGGTATGTGCCCCTGGATGTGTCTGCAGGGTGGGCTGCAGGCAGGGGGCACTGCAGTGTTCCTGGCCAGGCTGTACTCAGACGAGGTGGCGGTAGCGCTGCTGCAAGCAAGGCCACGGAGGGGGTCCTAGCCCAACCCCAACCCCCGCTCCCAGTGCTGTAGGTGCCTGCTGGCCTGGCAGGAACAGCCCTGCACAGCCTGCAGCTGTAGCCCCCACGCCCTCACCAGCCCCAGGCCCCCCATGTCTGCGGGAAAGGGGTGTGTGTGTGTGTGTGTGTGTGTGTGTGTGTGCGCGCGCAGCACTAGGCTGTTCCACCGGGCCTGGCCCACACTGTGCTTGGGAGGACTGGGGGGGGGGCACTACAGCCCCTCTCCATGGCCTCACGTGTAGTGCCAACGTCTGGCTTAAGCACAGCCTGGCCAGGAGCAGTTTGGTGGGAACAGCCTACAGCCCATCCTGTGGGCAGATCTGGTGGCATGTGCCCCTCATGCCCTCCCAGGCTGTGTGCTCCTCCTCCCTGCACCCCCTGGATGAACTGTTCATGGCTCTGCCCCCTGCTGGCTGTGCAGGACCTGCCCCTGCTCTATCCCTGCTACCTACCTCAGAGCTGCAGCTGTTGGCACTGCCCCATGGTGGGGGCAGCACGTGTGTGGCAGAGACAGCTCCTGCTGCAGGCTGGGCTTTGTACCCTAAGCTCCAGTGCATGTACCCCCCCAGCCGCTGCCCCTTCCCTCCCCCACTGACTGACTTGCTGGGCTGGGGGAGGCATGTACATTCATGCATGTGTGTGCTCTGCCCCAACCCAGGATCGGCTTTAAGAGGCTCTGGGATTTACCAGCTGATAGCAATGGACCACTTGACCACTGAGTTCCTGTTCTCCGTGATTGCAGATGACAGAACAAGGAGTAACGGTCTTAAGTTGCAGCAAGAGAAGCTTAGGTTGGATACTAGGAAAAACTTCCTCACTAGGAGGGTGGTGAAGCACTAGAATGGGTTATCTAGAGACATTGGAATCTCCATCCTTGAAGGTAATTTTAAGGCCCAGCTGGACAAAACCCTGGTGGGGATGGTCCTGCTTTGGGCAGGGGATTGGACTAGATGATCTCCCGAGGTCCCTTCCAACTGTAACTTTCTGATTCTAATTAAAAGGCTCCCTACCCCGCATCAGAGCATGTGTAAAATGCCCCTTAAAGCATTCTAAGTCTTGTCACAGATTCAGATTCTAGCGTTAGAAGGGACCACAGTGGGCCATCTAGTCTGACCCCCTGCCCCTGACAGGCAAGAAAAGTCACCAAACCTGCTGTCATGTGATCCTAGCCAGGTGCCTGTCCAGTCCCCAGGGGCCTGTCCGGTATCCTTTGCTTTTAAGACAGTTTAGAAAAGGAAGAATAGAATAAGTCTCAAATGCCTCTTAACCAAGATAAAGGGCATCTCTATGGGAGGCAGCTATACCTCTTCCCATGTTTGTTTGTGGACACACGTTCAACCACAAAGCAGAATGTAGGGTTCTAGGTAACACACACACACACACGTGCGCGCGTACACATCAGAGGGACATTACCTGTA